TGCGTATCCAAGAGCACTCTTAAGCAGATGCATATTAAAGATTCTTTTATTTATCTCCTTCCCATTTCTGTTAGCTTTACTTTTGTACCTGAAGGAAGTCACATAACTCTTTGTGTGTACTACTTTGCTATTTTAGCATTTTTTATGAGGAGTAACTTTAGGCATAGATCACTCTAAAATAAATTAGAGTAGATGATACCTAGTTCCAGTTGAATGGTGCTCTCAAATCTGGGCCATTCTTATTCTTGAGAAGTACTTGCACACACACACTTTAGCACCTAGATAGAACCCATTTCTTTAGAAACCCTGAGTGTTGATTTTAGACAGCACAATCTGATCTCTCTGTACCTTCAAGGCTCATAAGACTAAGAGTTTACACTCAGTTGGCATTTAGCATTTTTTTCCCCTCAGTGTGTCATGTGGATGACTCATGTCTCCTCATATGAATTGTACGTAATTTGTACAAATCAGGGTCAGGATTACAATTGGGAAAAAACGGCACATTCAAAGTAGTGTACAAAATTTTATCTATGAAGGGGCCACTTGTCAAAGACAAGGGATATGTAACAACCTTGGCTAGTACTGATTTAGCCATTAACACCTGAAGTGAGAAGGGTAAGTAAGCTGTTATTAGAACCTAGAAGGAGGGAATCCTATAGTTTCTGAAGTAATAGAAGCAGTAAGTTTTGGTTGAGGAACATAGCCAGACTTACATGTTTCCAGTGGATGAGAACCAAGAAAGTAAATCATGCACTAACTTTATTCTCTTCATTTAATTTGTCTGGTTTCATATTGGCCACAGCCAACAAAAACTCAGAAATCATGGGGATATTATTATTTATTCAAATAAAACCTTTGTGTCCTTGAAAGAACACACAAAGTTCCATCTGCTACTGTTTCTTTGTAGAGTGGTATTAGTCCAGTTTATATAGCTGTCTGAAATTTATAACTACAGTCAACACTTGTGCTTTTCATATAAGGTTTTGGGGCAAATGCCCCCATTAAGAAAAGAAATAAGATTATCATATGGCCTTAACTGGTAATCCTAGCTCCCTCTGTCAACTACTCATTCATTTTTCCTTTTCCTTCTGCCAGCATTCTGACTACACAGGTCATTTACGTGGTGGATCAAGCCAAAATTTTATCCTTGCCAAATCTTATTCCTTTGCTTCTTTTCCTTAATTAGGTTGCTACAATTTCAGTTTTCCATTGAAATGGAAATTAGAATGTGGAAATGTAGAATTGGAAAATGAGATCGAGTTGGACAAGGGAGTATTTCTGAATCTGCTGAGTCCAGTTATATTCTTCTTTACTCTCTTTTGTATAGTGAAGATACATATTTTTCCTGGCAGATGAGCTTAATCATCAGACACATAGTACTATGTATTCTGTCAGGTTTTTTTTTTTTTTTTTTTTTTTCCCCAGTCCTATTGAGCCCCACATGATCAGGGGGGAAATCTCAGCTTCCAATTCAGAGGAACAGAATTAAGACATTCCCTGTTGGAAGCAATCCCCCTTTAGGCATGAGGACTTCTAAACCCACTGATCTCCTTTTCATGAAGATAAGAAACAAAATACATCTAGTGGAGTAATGGTGTGATAGTGGTAGAGAATGCTACACTTCTACCCCTCAGTTCCTAGATTTATGCTTTCTGGCTATGTGAGAGGGGCACATGTATGCTGTATATGACATCCCAACTTCAAGGTGGTTATAGTACCAAAACCGAGATAGAGAAGACTAGTTAACGCTTCCATCCAATGAGGTACATATAGCTAATAGAAAACAGTGAATCTCATGGTCTGAGCCTATTGCCCTCCTTTTTGCTATAAAATACTTTCTGTTTGGTGGTGGTGCGGGGTGGATTATTGTGGTAATGGACAAGCTACTCTGTGAACCCACGAAGAGCAGCACTGACAGGACTTGAAGTAGCAGAGGCATAGCTATTCCAGAGTGTGTGTCTATCTCTGTAATGGCAAAATGCTACCCCCTCTTGATGGAATGCTTCCCATGTAATCTACCTGCCACCAGGTAGCCAGATGGCCCTGCTGGGAAATAATGCCATGTCGAGTTTAATGACAGCCACTACCATTGGAAGGTAATGGTGAGAGCCAAAGCAGACCGACATGCGCTCTGTAGTCATATTGTCCATCTGATTATTGAGAGCCTCCTCTGCTATGGGTGTGTTCTGATGGATATTAAGTAGGACACTAATATCTTCATATTTTTACATTTTTACCCCTCCTGATAAGTCAATGCAGTTATCTTTCTCTAAACTTCCTTGTCACTAATTTTTGTCTTCCCATAACCCTAATCAGGTCTTTTATTAGTTACTGTGCATGAGGCAGGGTAGATCCATGCTTCAGGCCAATTCTCCTTCCACAAGAAGTACAAAACTAAATATCTTGCTCAAAAGTCTGCCAACTGGGAGGATTTATGTTTTCTTTAGTCTTTTAATGCCACTCCTCAGTCAGATTGTGGTACAGAGCCTATCCAATTCCAGAGCCTTCAAGTACATCATGCAAACCTGCCCATAAACCAGGCCTGCATTTATTTCTCCCCTGCCAACTTGTATTAGAAAACACATCTTGAGGTTTAGGTATGAGCTGAAGGAGAGAGGGTAAAGTAGAGGATGCAATAATCTGGACATTTTACTTAATGCGTTCTACCCAATCCCATATATACCCCTTCTATTTTATAGTGGGATGTTGCTCTATGTGTTTCATTTTATGGTTGGTCAGTGATTCAGAGAACAGTCAGTTCATGATGGGCAGTTTGGGTTGCATAGCCACTTGGTATCCCATGGTCAGGCTAATTATTTCTGCAAGAGCCCAGTAGAGAGCTGCTTTTGAAAAGGAGAATATCAGCACAGGAGGAAATGGCCTTCCTCTAAAGCTTGTAATGCCTGTGTTTTGATTGCCACATAATGAGTGACAGAAGCTCCACACAGCCTCTTTGTTTACCGTGCACCTTTACATTCGCAGTGTATCTTCTGGGTCACCAGGTAAAGACAGTAGGGAAGGTTGTACCATGGCCTTGATCTGCTGCATAGCCCTTTCTTGCACAAGCTCTGCTCAGAACAGGCAGCTTTATAGGTTATCTGGGAAGTAGAACAGGGCAACATATGTGAATATGGTTTAAGCTGTTATTCAAAATCAGAAGAGTCTATTCCCTCTTTACTTTTGCATAAGTACAATTCCAACAAGTTTTCTCTCACTTTACAAGAGATATCCCAGTGTATACTATGCTACTAGATCTCTAAACTCTCCTCTAGGGATGTAGACTCTTAAACTTTATAGGAATTTATCTTCCACTCTGCCTTAATGCAGAGAATGCCTAGCTCCCTGGGATAGAGGCTGCCTCTGTCAGCAAGGAGACTTCTGGGAATTTTGAGGTTCAGTATCTTCAGCCATAATATTAGACACATACAGCAACATTCCCCAATAATGTGTTATTTATGAGACTGGTCCAGAAAGCATAAGTATACTGCACATGTTTACCCAAGCATCTTTATCCTAGGTGCCAGTGTCCCAGGACTTCTCCTCCAATATATCTGTATTAGCTTTAAAAAACAACTGGAGTTGAGCCCCTAATTTGTGTTGTAGTTCTGCCACCCTTACTATGTTCTCTTGGACCTCTGCCTTATCTGCCTGCAACAACAGAAGAAGAGAGGGACTCCTTTAAAGATGCCGTGGTGATCTTTTTTGTATTCTTGATTTTGCAGACATGGTTTCCATTTCAGTTTATCCCTATGGAATCTCCTTGAGGTGTCACATGAACCGTGGGAGCTTCATTTTATAATCTTTACAGTTGCCGCGATTGTAGCAATTAAGTGCCACCACCAATTATCCTCCCCAAACCTTTCCTCTCTATCTGCATTTCATTCTGTATCATCACCAGTGACAATGGATTACTCATGAGTCCATCCATTGCTATGGATTATCTATGCTCCAGTTCCCTCCTGGAAAGGAGATGATTACATCAAAGATAGTACAAATAGAGATGGATATAGATACAGATCACCAACTTAATCTCAAACTCTAATTTTAAAGGTCCCTTTTCCGAGTCTCTTACTGGTATTCATCATGGTATCTGTCAGGGTACAAAGTTAGCACTTTCAGTAATCTGAAGATTTATTTACGAAGAGACCACATCTACAAAGTGAAACCGTAAAGGACAGAGCTATAATCTAGACTAGTAACAACCAAGCTATAATCACCCCTGTGACCATAGAGATGAGTCATTACAAGATACAAAAGGAGAAAATTTCACAGAAGAGAGTGCACTGACAGGGGTAGTGACATCATTTAAAACCCACAGCTAGACTGAAGTGACATTTCAGGGTAGAGCCAAGGGAACACATACTCTGACTTCACTCTCCTCCTTGTAATCTCTTGCCATAGTATAATAAAGGGCATGCTCTGGAGGGCATGGCTGCCCTTCTGCTGTTGTTCACCCACGTTAATTTTCTGGACCAGAAAGCAGGTATAGACAAGTGAATAGTGGATCTGGGGTCACATGAAAGATATCCAGTCTATTTCTCATTCTCTTTCTTTAGAGCTTAAAATAGTTTCATGAGTCTAGTGGTTATCCAACTTGTTCGATGATGAGAGTGGGTATTTAACTTGTTTGATGATGGAAATATGATTGAAAGCAAATGTGAATGAATGGGGACATAAATACGGTTTTATGCCGTATTTCGGTCTTCAGTTACTGTTCTTATTCTTTTTACCCCAGTAGTGCTTTCATTTTCTCTGTTCATGCTGCTGACAGTCTATGAAATCCTGACTTCATTGCTTCATTCTTTCCTGCCATTGCATCTGCTTCTCCTGGGACTAAAAGGGTAACTCAGAAATACAGAATTCTCTATGACGTTGATAAAATCCAACCACTGTATAGAAAAAAAATGTATATGTGCAATGGAGATTTCAAGGACAGATGTTTGTGGGTCACTGAGCCCACATCTCTACAGTTGGTTTCAAATAACACTCATTTATTCTAGAGGAACTTCTGCATTCTCACATTGCCCACTGGTGGTCGCCAGATGGAGAAAGGCTTGCCTTCCTGATGATAAATGATTCGTTGGTGCCTAACATGGTTATCCCTCGATTTACTGGAGCATTGTATCCCAAAGGAAAGCAGTATCCATATCCTAAGGTAAGTAACGTGGAAGTACTGGTGTGTTCTCTTTCTCTGCACCAGTGACTTGATTGATAGTATCCTTGCTTCAGGAGCAAGTTGTCTTTGCAGAAAAACGAAAGGAAGCTTTTCACTCGTGGTCGGCAGATTCATTTGTTAGAGTATTCAGTAGCCTGTACAGTGTTCTGGTAGGAAGAAGTAGAGATGGCTCAGGGCTTGGGAACGGCCACTTTGACTGCATTGCTTCCTCTTTGATTCTCTCCTTCTTGTTTCCCTTGCCTTCCGAGCATTTGGAAAGAAAGTGAGAAAAGATAAGGGGCAAGCATTATGCCAGGGCACAGGTTTCTCCAAAGTACATTCTCTGTGTTAATATTTGTTATATTCTAGTTGTTACTAGGTGTTATAAGGGAAGAAAAAGTCCCATGGTCACATAGTTTGAAAATTCTTAGTTAAAAATAAAATCCAACTTCTTGCAGACATTTTCTTAGAGCACTTAAAATATTATATGTTAATGTACATTATAAATCTCCCATAAAAAATTTGACTAAGCATAAAGTATCTCCAGTAAGGAATAGACTAAGCATAAAGAATCTCTATAAAGAATAGACTAAGCATAAAGAATTTATTAGTATTAGTATTAACATCAGCATTATTTTGGCAGAGCATACTCTGGAACATACTTTATAACGTGACGGGGTAGAGCTATAGCCAGGCGTAGCTAAGATAGATGGAATTGTTTTATTGAGTGAGGCAAATACAGAACTCTTGCCCAGTGAGCAAAACTATTTTCAAGTAGGGAGCAGGTTGCAAAAACATCTGGAGTGTAATGATTTTTTTCTATTGTATGGCATTTTTGATAACTTAAGGTCTCTTTTTTAAAAATACATTTCCCCATGTTTATATTACAAAGAAAAAGGCTCATGAATGAGGCTTCCTATGCATTAATCATGTAAAGATGTCTTATAGGAAAAATTTTAAACTGTTTTACACATTTCAGCTCTTAATTAGTAAGAGATGGCTGCTAATTCAATTTAGAAGCTATGTTTTTTAAAGATTTTATTTATTTGAGAGAGAGAACGCAAGTGAGCGAGAGAAAGCATGAGCAAAGGGGAGGGTCAGAGGGAGAAGGAGAAGCAGACTCCCTTTTGATCAGGGTGCCTGACGCAAAACTCGGTCCCAGGACTCTGGGATCATGATCTGAGCTGAGGGCAGACGCTTAACCAACTGAGCTACCCAGTCCCCCTTAGAAGCTATTTTTAAGCCATTCCTTTAGTGAGTTGTACTGTTTCCCAATCACAATAGGTTTTATACCTTTCAACTTGTGTGTTACATTAATTGGGCAAGGTATTGGACAAATTATCCATCACACAGATTATTCTATACTTGCAGTAAAGGCATGATTTAGGGTAGGCATGACTTTTCTTATTTTCCTGTCATCCACCAAACTCAAGTACTTAAAGTAGGGAATGAAGGTGGGGGAGGGAGGATTCTTAGACAGTCTCACATCTTAGATAGGTAAAGAAGGAGGGAGGGAGGGAGGATGAAAGTCAGTCTTGAATTTAGAGAGTCTGGGATAAGAAGAGCATTTCCTCGGTGAGATTCTGTACTGTCTGTTTTTCTTTTGTATTTTTTTCCCCCTCTCAATCCTACCTTCCTTTCATAGATTGTGGTATTAAATGACTGGCTTATAGCTGAGAAGGACAACAAGATTGAGAGGAATCTGATTCTATGATTTTCAAATATTATTTTTAGGGTCTTCTCTGGATATAAATTAGAAGACACATATACTCAGTGCTCTTCAGGAGAAAGTGGCAACTTGACCTAACAAAAAAAAAAAATCATAACTCACCAAGAGATTTTTACTGTACTTCAGGTACATGACTTATGACTTCTCTAGTATAGATTTAGTCATGTTTGATGAATGACAGTTTGTTCCTGTATAGCATAGCTGCACCTTTTTTTTCCCCCCAGGGAATGACTGAGAAGACTTCTCAAATGTATTAATTCTCACATCATTTGATTTACTTATGATAATGAAAGTTCACCTGACAGTTTAAATACAAAACCAAGTGGCATATTGTGGGAAGCCTATGTGAATAGGCAAGATATTCACACACAACTGTTTAGTTTGTTTACTGCACAAAGGGAATAAAACCAGCCCCAGGGGAGGAACAACATTTTGTCATTCATTTCCCAAGAGGAGTGGGGACCTTAGGACTCACAACGTAAGAGCCAGATGCCATAGGTGTATTTCAAACTGCCTTCTCAGTTAGGGGCTGCTTGAACTTGGACACTCCTAGGCCTCATAACTTTAACAGACTGAGGCAAACGAATAGACACACAGAAATGTCTGAGAAATATTAATTCATAAGATACTGGGTTGACAAGCCTAGACACTTTGTTATTAATAAGTTATTATTTTATTAATTATTTAATATTTCTTAATAGTAAAGCTAGGCATAAAATAATAATGTTTGCTGTTGTATAAATCGGGTGTGCTAATAATATGCTTCATATTTTCAGAGAGACTTTTCACTTTTTTTTCCTTATTTGGACCTCTTCACAATTGCCTCCATTTACGAATGGACAAACCAAGCTCTCTAAAAGGCTAAGTGCTTTTATAAAAGTCACAGTTATTTTGAGAACAGGGAAATAACTCAAATGTATTGATTCTGTCCCTCTCCGTAAAACTACCAGAGGTTAACTTGTATCTCTGAAGACATAGCTGGAATCAAAATTATCTTCTTGTGAAGCTAACAAATATATGTGGAGCTCTGTTTGCTCCATTTACTCCTAATGACTTAACTATATATGTAGTGGGATATATGTAGGACTCTTAGACAGTCTCACATCTTAGAGAGAGAGAGAGAGAAATAGGGATTTGTAATACAAAGTAGAAGTCCTGAGTGTGTGTTAATGACTACCACTGAGGAGTATTAAGCATAAAAAAAGGTAGCTATTCCTGTGGCCAAGCCGAGAAAGAAACCTAAGTCCTCAGGAGGTTTTTAGTAGGAATCCCTGCTCAGGTACATAAGACAACAGGACTCAAAAAAACAAGATATGGGCTTGATCCTTGTTCTCAGATAAGTTTCAGTATCATTTTGGGTATATTACTTGAACTTTGAAAGTCTTACTATTTTCTACTCTGGTTTAAAAAAAAAAAAATGTTTGCTAGTTCTCCCACTAACAACTATATTATTTTGATTTGCTCTTACTTTGGTAATAAACTTCTAAAAAGTAGTACTTTCGACACTGAAGTAATTCATAGAGGTCACACTAAATTGTACTTCAAATTAAACTAGATTAAAATGAGTGCAGCAAATACTCAATGTGGTCAGATTTACTAATGAAATACTTACGCTAAACAAATATATTTCTATTTTACTTAATTCAGCATGATTCAGAACTCATAAAATACCCTATCATTAGCAATTCAGCACAAAAGAGATGCACAGTTCTATCTCAGTAACCTCAGGTTAATCTTCTTAATTAAAGCATTATCTTGTTTAATGACAATTTAGTTGCCAGTAAAATAAGGTTAATTATTATTGAGGCTTGTGTTTCAGAGTCGTAGAGGAAGGATTCTGTAGATATGCAGTCTTTCTGGCAAATGTGACTGTAAAAAACAAATGAACTCTTCTAATTTGCAAACTATTGAAACGATCCAAATGTTAAAAAAGGTACAAATGAACTTGCAATGTGCACTTAATTTCAAAACTCCGCGGAGAGATAAAAATCTAATTGAGATTGTAGAATGCTGGATGGCTGAATTTTAGAAACAACCTGATGTTTGTTTTTTGTCTAAAATTGGCCACATTGTATACAACTTTTAATTTGTTCCCATGTAAAAGCTAACTGGGATATCAGCGATCCTATACACGTATAAGCATACAGAGCTGCAGACATTTAAAAAAAAAAAAAAACCTGCCTGATGATATGGTAATAACCATATATGTCTTTGACAAAGGATGTCATAAAATTATTCATCACTGATAAGAACTGACAAAAAGATCAAATTTAATTTTCTTTTTTTTCTTAACGAGCTTATTGAAGAATTTTAAAAATTGGCAGAATTTTTCATCAACTAGAAAAGTCAGTGTTTTAAAAACTCTTTCTAACTCACTACTATATACTATTTTAGACATTTTTATAGATAATCTTTTTTGTTAGTCCATATAACAAAATTATAAGATATTTATAGCTACAGAAAGGAAACCTGCCTTGGCTCAAAACTTCTGACTTGTGACATATTCTCAGCAAAGTATTGTCTCATTTTTGATAATCCAATAAAATAACACTTGAGGATCTTTAACATCTTGCCCACGGTCTATATTCGGTAAATAGCAGTCACAGTCCAAACCCAGGCTTCTCTGACTCACAGGTTAAGCTAAACCAGTTCTCACAATGTGGTACTTTTCCTCATCTGGGAGACTTAGAAATGAGATTCTCATGTCCCATGACATGAGAAATGCTGGGTAAATCTTGTTAAACAAGCCTTCCAGTCCTCTGGGTAATTCTTTTTTTTTGTTTGTTTGTTTTTTAAAAGATTTATTTATTTATTTTAGAGACAGAGAGTGCCAGTGGAGGGAGGATCAGAGGGAGAGGGACAACCAGACCCCTAACTGAGTGCAGAGCCTGATGCAGGGCTCAATCCCAGGACCCTGAGATCGTGACCTGAGCCAAAAACAAGGCCGACGCTTAACTGACTGCACCACCCAGGGACTCTCTGGGTAATTCTGATGCAGGCTGACACCTTTGATAAGCACTGAACTGTAATATATATTATTGTGTACATGTATGTATATGATAACATATATATTATTGGATATATATGCATTACTACATATACTAGTAATAATATATATCACTGAAAAAAATATATATCAGTGTCCATTTGTAAATTTACATATTATTATAGTTATCTGAGAGTCTTATTAAAATAGAGAATCCAGGCCCACACCTAGAGATTCTGATTTTTGAGTCTATGTGAGGCCCATAATTTGTGTTTCTAAGATTCTAGGTGATGCTGATGGATGCTGCCAGTCAAAGATCAATACTTTGAATGGCACTTCTGAATATTACGTCCCAGCTCTAATTTTTAATATACCTGGTCAAATTAGAGAAACGGTTAGATTGAAAAATATAGATAAGGCCAATATTTTCAGGGAGGATCATGGCAATTAAACTGAAATGGGAGTGATGTGAAAGGGAGCTCCTGTGTGTGGTAGAAGGTTAAATTGCCCAAGACAAATGTGCCCAGGCACTTGAAGGGTTTAGAACAATGAAAAGCTTTATGAAATCTGAAGTGAGAGCCTTCTCTGTGAGGCAGGATCATAGCTTATCTTCCAGGAAGCCCTTCACTATATAAACCATTTCCATAATCTCTCTTTATAGCATTGTGTTTCTGTACCAAAGGACTTTCCTGACTCCTTTGGCTCAAAACTTCTGACTTGTGTATGATGCACCCCCACAGATGTGCTAGTCATTTTTGTTTACACCAGAAACTAATGATGTACAATATGTTGGCTAATTAAATAAAAAAAGAAATGACTCTATTTTTTAGAGCAGCTTAAAGTTCACAACAAAATTGAAAGGTAGAGAGAATTCGCATATGCCCCCTGCACCTACAATTGCAGAGCCTCCTCCATTATCAGCACCATTCACTGCAGCAGTGCATTTGTTACAACTGATGAAGCTACACACCATAATCACCCAAAGTCCATAGTTGATGTTACAGTTCACTGTGGGTGTTGTACATCCTCTAGGTTTGGACAGATATATAATGACATGCATCCAGCATTATGGTATCACATAGTATTTTTCACTGCCCTAAAAATCCTCTGGGCTCCACTCGTTCATCCTCCTGCCTTCCCCCTGTACTAGTTGTATTTACTAGCCTAACAACACAGTCCTTGAAGAGCTATTACAGACTATTGGTGGAATGTATTATGTTGCTTCTTGTCCTGTTCAACTTTGGGTTTTGTCAATGCCAATTACTTGAACATGGATTTTTCTTTCTCGTCTTTAAATCACTTTTGTAATTCTCCTTAGATTTTTGTCAGTCTTCTAACTCAACCCACTTCTAATTTCCTTGTCTTTCTTTGTACATCTCATATAGTCTTCTCCTAAAACATCAGCCTCTCCGCAATGACGTATCAGTATTTTGTTTAGGAACACATTGTGCCACAAGTAGTCAACTGATTCTATACATCATTTATTCACATAAACATTCTCCTATTCATTCATTCAAACTGCTTGAGATATATTGGTAAAAGGTCCCTTTTGTGCCCCCTACAAATTCATAGTATTTGAAAAATTGTGGAGGCCATTGCCTGGGAATGAACTGAAGCAAAGCATAGCAGGGAAGAGCATCCTGGGTTTAAATACGAGCTTCCTCAGTTATTGGATATCCATCTTCCACAGTTTGCTGAGCTTCTCCATTGTCATTTGGAAATGGTTATAATTATTCTTAGGACGGAAGTAAGAATATTTAGTAAGATTATTCATGTAGTGCCTTTACTACATACTTGAGCCAGAAACATACTAATGCTCTAGGCTAGTTATTACCAATTCTTGTCACTGTCCTTCTATTCATCTGACTACATACTTAGTGAGGGCAGACTGCTCTGTGGCCCACCACCTCCCAAGGGGCACTTACACCGGACCCCATCTGGTATTCACTAAAGTTTAAAAGGAAACCTGGGGGAAGGGAAGGAAAAATAAGATAATAACAGAGAGAGAGGTAAACCAAAAGAGACTCCTAACTATAGAGAACAAACTAAGGGTTGCTGGAGGGGAGGTTGGGGGGGATCGGATAATTGGGTGATGGGCATTAAGGAGGGCACTTTATGTAATGAGCACTGGGTGTTACATGCAACTGATGAATCACTAAATTCTACCCCTGAAATGAAAAAAAAAGGAAACTTAGGAATGTAGGAATGTTTAATGCAATGGGATGGATTAGGTATTGGGGAATTTTAAGCATGTGTCACCCAGATTGGCAAATCTTCTTTATCTTTTTCTTCTTATTTTTTTTTAATTAGCCAAGCTTTTTTCTCATTGCATATCTTATCCTATAATGTGAGTAGCAGCTTGTTCTACTAGTTGTTTTGTTAAGCCAGCCCTCCTGGTGTCATTCTAGGGAAAGAACACAGTAGCACTGCCTAATGAATAAACTCATCATAATTTTCCATCACCTTTAATTGTCTGACTAAAATGCTTGAGAAACAGCAATCTACAAAAACAATTGAAGGCAATCAGGTTGCTGAATTTAAAATCATTTCTACTTCAGAGAAATTAAACTTTTTCCCTGTTCTAATGCAAAATTAGAATCACACCACATTTTCTTTTTTTCTCAATATATTTAATGCTTAATATATTTGTGTCACAATGTTCATTCTCTCAAAGGCAGGTCAAATGAACCCAACCATCAAATTATATGTTGTAAACCTATATGGACCAACTCATACTTTGGAACTCATGCCACCTGACAGCTTTAAATCAAGGTATGCGATTTCCATTTTACTTTTACTTGGAAATAGTTATTTTAACTTCAATTATCATTTTATTGCAATTTAGAGAGATGTGATCAGCTCAACAAATCCACATGAAAATAAATCTGAGGTTGCCCCATTAGTGCAGGAATGAACTCATTCTGGGCTTCTTGTTGTTCCCAGGGAGCATTTAAAGTTTCAAGGCGATTAGCAGCACCAGAAAATGATTAAATGTAGTAATATTGAGAATTAGACTTGTTGCAGGAGATGTGACAGGCAGATGGGGGCAAAGGATAATTTTCCATTGAATGTTCTTCCTGAAAATAGTTACCCCATTTTTTTAAATGGTCCTCTTTAAAAGAGCACAATCTTCCTAGAATCTGTGTGGTTTTTCCAACAGAAATTCTCCCCATAGCTTGGGAGTGATTCCCTAGCTTTTTCCTCCAGGCAGGGAAGTGTAATGAGATGGGGTTTCAAAATATTCTATATAAGAAGGCTTCTTATTTAAGAAGTTTAAATGGAGAGGGAAAAAACCAACAACAACACATTTTATGTGTCAGAAGCATAATTTTAATATTAGTAAAATTTCCAGTAGCACACAATGAATCAAATAACCATGTGGGTTTTAAAATTCAGAGTGGTCTCAAACTTCAAGGGTATTCATTCAAATAGTGCAACCCTTTGAAACTTTACAGTGGTCCTGGAGCTGGAATAGGTAGCTGATTTAGGAAAATACTTCCACACTATTGAATGATATGGGGCTAAGCTCAAACTTTGTTTTGATGCCATCAACAATCAGTGCTAGGGGACTGATACAAATATAAATTCCACTCAAACGCTGTTCCATTGATGTATTTGGGAAAATTCTATCACAGTTGGGGATTTTCACAGACAGTGCAGCCTGCAGTATGTGGGAAATTTCCCTCCTGTAAAGTTACTAAAAATTTATGGACTGCTTACACTGGAAGGGCGCTCATAACTACCTAATACAATCTGTTCCTATTATTGAGGGAAAAGATGAGGCCCAGAACCCCAAGATTAGTTGGTAACAGAGGTAGAAAATATGGTAAAGCCTGTTTCAAGTTATAGAGCATTTCATGCAGGTCATGATGGAAGACCTTACAGGGCCATTCGAATTGACATGTAGAATGCAGTAGAGTTGACCAAATCAGATAGGAACTCTACTGAACTCGATCTACCAGCCATGAAAGAATTAGTCACAAATGAAGCAATTATGGAAGCCATTAGTATTTTATGTGGTCCTGAGCCCTTATCTTTTTCTCTGATTTGTTTAATGCTCTGAATTAACAGGAAAGGGCACTAAACTGGAGTGTTTGAGTCACATCTCTGCCACCATTTCATTATGTGAACTTGGACAAGTCACTCTACCTCTCTAGGAGTCTGAATAACCTCATTTTAAAGTAATATTTTTTCATTTTCATCAGTCTTTTGAGATCTTTGAAATAGAAATCAACTTTACAATATCTGGCTTTCTTTTTAAGAAAAAGTAATGATTCTGGACCTTGATGTTATAACCCACGAGGTTGCTAGTGGATTCTCCAGATAGATAGGATATAGTAATGTCAGCAAACACAAAAATTCTTAAAGACAGAATCAGTTGTCATTTATTGGGTTATTAGTTAAGTATATATCTATAATATTTGAAGTACAATATGATAAAATTAGTCATCCATGGCAAAAAGGTATCACCTATCCTTAGATAAAAATCCAATGCACAGAATAAAATACAAGATCCCACTAAGAGTGAGGAAGAATCTTGTGAAGAAAAGTCTCTTAGATGTAACCCAAGTATATTGGTTTAGTGATGAACTTTGTCTACAATTCGGGGAAAGATATAGATACCTTATCTATAGAATGCACCAGACAATTTTGCTCTTTCTCCCTCAGGGTCTTACGTTAAGTGCCACCTGTGGCATGTGAAATGTACCAAAATGTATGATTTTTGTTGAAAAACTCAAGATCAAAGTTTACTTCAAAATTGATATTTTTAAATATTACCCTGGTTCAGTTTTACAGAAATGTATTTCCTTACTCATCTGTTTATGGTAGGAAGTTTCAGTCCAATTCACAGAAGAGTAATAAGTGAATTTTAGATCATCTGCATTTAGTCACTCTGAGCACAGGTGTTACTTAGATGGGCTCAGAAACATACAAATGAACAAAATAGATAGATCAATGGTGTGAATTAAAGAAACTTCATTCATCTAGCTGCACATAATATGGAAACGAAACTGCTGTTTTCTCCTTGGTTTTGTTTTAGGATTATGAACATCTCTAATATTTAATACATGGTATGTTAACCATATAGAAATTTGCTAGAAAACTATTGTGCCCTCCTAGTTAGAGATCTAAAAGAGCATGTCATTTTTCATAATTTAGTGGTCAGGGTCCTAGAAATTAAACAGATGACACACTCAAGTAGGGTAAGTGAACCGCAGTTAATTAAGGGACTATTAACAAAAATGTGAGCAGGATTAAGGGGAAATTCACAAAGGATGAGAAAGCAACTTTGAGTCTGCATTAGGGGAAAGCTATTGCTGTCTCTGGACTGAAGGAATGAGGTACAGGCTCAATTATGAATCCTGAAGAGGCCTGTAGCTGAAGAACAGGATGGACCAGGAGGACCTGTCCACAGATTGAGCAATTCATTCATTGCCAAACCACACCCTAGTAGGAAGCGGATCCTGGGAGTTAATACTCTGACCTCTCTCTCCTCTCAAGCTTGGAGTTCCTGCAGAGGCCTTCCCCTGGCAAGGCAGCCTCACTGTAGAGGCCAGCCTCTGGAAACTGCATGGGGAAAGCTGGAGAATGGACCTGGCAAGTGGAGAATATTCCATATAAATAATTTAAGGATAATATTTGCCATAAGAAGTTTATTAGACTTTATGCATGTGTTGGCGATGACCACACGAGCACACAATGATTTTTCTGAAGCCACGTGAGAAAGCAGTATCTGTCTGGTGCTGTTTCTATTTATGACTCTCTGAATCTTCCTCTGTGTGTGTGTGTGTGTGTGTGTTTCAGTCTCTGTATACAGACACACAAACACACTCATATGCAAACACATACACACATCTATGATTTATCTAACTAATGCATGTGCTTCTCTTACAAAACTGCCATACTTTTCTCACGTGCACTGTGAGCCATGTAACTGAGGGTGTTTTAACTAAGTTGCATTAGTGTACTTTGGACCTGGAGTTTACTATGGTAACTAACACCTGTTTCCCTCTCTAACTTATTTTCCTTTTTCTCCTCCTAATTTACTTTACCATGTTATTCTTAAATATTTCTAAGCTAACTCAAATTCTTTTTTATATTTAAAAAATTTTAAATATATAAATATATAAGGTAAATTTTTGGTAGTATTAGTAGCAGTATTCTCATATTTATTAATGACAGTATTCCTACAAATTCCAAGAAATACATATCATTTTTTAAATTTTTTTAAATGTGTAAGTATAAACATGCAAAAATTAACTTATTAGTAACATACTCCTTGCCCTATTAAGACCATCAAATGTACTTTCTTTTTTTGGAGTTTGTGTTGTGTTCATAGCTATCCGTATCATTTGAGGTTCTATTTAAACTCTCAATAACAGTATACCCAAATAATTATTTCATTCTGTAATAATTTACTTGTTTACTTTTTTTGATATTATCTAAGCATCTATATTTTATATTATCTTTATATATGCATATGGCAATTAATGAATTATATTCTATTACTCTGTGCAGTTATAAACTATCTTTTTTTTTTTTCCTTTTTGGTCCTTCCTTTTTTCCACTAAACTTGAACTTCATCTCTTATCCTTCTTTTTTCTCTCATAAAATCACCATTGTGGCTATAATAATTATTGAATATATATGTGCACACCTAAATAGGAAGATTTGTAAGATAAATAGAAAGATGGTCTCTTATGACTTGAGGTACCTTATAAATTGTATTCTTTGACTCCCACTCCAAAGAGCAAGATTTTTTAGAATTTGAAGATGTTAAATCATTTGTTTTGGTCTGTTGATTGTTTATTTGGTTGATTGATTGATAACAACTCATGTTTATAAGTATAATAGAAATATGTCTCCAAGCTAGAATCAGCATTCAGTAGACCTTGCTTAACACCAGATACTTAAACTCTAGTCAAAGAATGTAAAATAAATTTCAATTCATTTATATGGCTTTAAAAAGAAATTAAAAGGATACCATAACTTGGAGAAAGACATAATTTCTTTTCCTTTTTCTTTCCCCCACACCCCTTCATTTTTTCAAAAAATATATTTGTGATTCAGCTAAAGATCCTTTATCAACAAATTCAGATCATGAATACAACTTTTCTTCAATAGGAATTCAGCTTGTATTCTTATCTTTAATTATTGTCTGTGTGGATTCTTCAGTATGTAGCACAGTAGGAACTCAGATAATGCCCCTTCAAGAACATTCCAGATCCATTTGGGAGTTAGATGATTCATCTCATTTTAAGGGGAAGGAACATTTTATAAATTTTTACACTATGAATGCAAGGTATTGTAAGCATTCTGTATCATTATTGGCATTTATCATTAAGATTTTAAAAAATATGTATTTAAGTTCTGGTGGAAAGTTTTTTTTTTTTTTTTTAATTCTTTTTTTTTTTTTTTTTGGCGGGGAGAGGGGTTAGGGGAGAGAGAATCTTAAGCACGCTCCACCCCCAGCACAGAGCTCCACAAGGGGCTCCATCTCATGACCCTGAAATTATGACCTGACCCGAAATCAAGAGTCAGAAGCTTAACCGACTGAGCCACCCAGGCGCCCCCTGGTGGAAAGATTTTTTTATAGTAATGAATCATGTAGATTTTTCCACAGGTTAGCATTTGTCACATTGTTTTGAGAAGTGATTATCCTTTGTATTCAGATATCTCCAGGATGAAGTGTAAAGGTAGCATTTTGTCTTTGGTTTCTCCTTACTCTGTGTCTTTGACATTATTTTATTTGAAATCTTTCTTTAGTCATCCACCCTTTGTGACCCATTATTCTTAGTATGTATCACTGAAGTGACATTGTCATATTACCTGTCACCTGGGCTTGATAGCACCACGCTTTTTCTTCTTGTATCATTGAAGTATGCCTAGTCTACATCTTTTTTTCTGCCAAGGAATATTTGTATCTTACAAAAAAAAAATCAAATTAAGAAATTTTTCTACGTTCATGGAAATGTCCTAAATGACCCTTCTTACAAGTAATTCATAGTTATTAATAAAGGTCTTTGCAGATCACTAGCTATGACTTGGTCATGCTTGCCATTACAGTACAGTTATGGGTAGAGATCCTGGATTATCTGGAAGAGTGTGAGCTCAGTGCAACTATACGTATACAAAAATTATGTTGTGAACACAGAGTAGTGATTGGACAGAAAGCCAGTGAAAACACAGGTGTGACTTCTAACATAGTACCTGTCTGCTGATGATGCTGGGGCCCCCATTCCACATACCCTTGTGAACAATTAGACCTTCTGTGCCAGACCGCCCAGCCGATAACAAAGTCTTTCTTAACTTGAGTGCAGTCCCTCTAACCCGCTTGTCTCTGTCTCTGTGGCTCAAAAGGGTGAGCTCCTTGTGGATTTCCTGGGTAATCCAGAGCCATGGAGACTAGGAACAAGCAGGAAAGCCAGTTATAAGGAGGGGGCAGTTCTGCTAGTCACTGGTCATGGGACACCAGATCTAATGTGTTCATGAAATGGACTTCCGGGAAGACAGCTACATCAGCAGCAGGCAGGCCAAGGAGTGTGATTTCCAGGTAAGGGCCCTTCCCTAATCCCTCATTCAGAGGAAGCCTGATTACTTAGGAGCAAACTAAGGAGAGTTGCACCTAGGATCCTGGAACAAGGAAAGAAAGAATACAGGCAGGATGTGTCTTACTTCTTGTGTGTCAAGCTCTATTTTAACTTTCATTTTAGATAATCCCAACACTTTATCATGGAAATTTCAGTGGCTTGAAATTATCCCTGAAAAACCTTATAAATTCAATTTTGGGGACAACTCTTATCTTTCAGATTATAAATAAGGTCTATACTAAGATACTTTACATCATGCTAAATTCTGCTTATAGGCATTAGGTACATTATATACAAACACACAAAATAATCACATTATTTAATCAAAGAGAAAGATAAGTGGTGTAACTGTGAGTTAATTATTTTAACTTAATTTTACACCTAAATTAGTGTTCCCCTTAAAAAATCACCTATTCACCAGATTTGCATTGGTTGAATTTTAGTTGCTTTTCTAATATGAAGTCCTTTTAGTCAAGATTTTCCATCATAGATAATAAATATGTGTCAGTGTGAAGACATTATGAAGAAGATGTTCTTGCAACATTACACTTGAGGGCTACTTTGAAAGGGAAAGCACTCAAGATGAATATTTAAATTATGTTTTGTTGTTGCAGTTGTTATTTATTTTAAAAAATTATTCATGTTGGTTGTTATTTGACACAATATGTAATATTACTCGCTTTAGCTAACTAAGATAAATTCCTGATTGGGTGTGAAAATTTATATATACCAGTTCTATCTAGATGTTTCTATAAATATAACCTCCTTGATTTTGCAGTCTTTGGTCAGTTGTTTACAATAACCAAATTATTTTTTACTTCAATTCTAAACAACATTTACACCAATTAATCGGAAATATATATTGTCAGAATTCAGCATTTCTTTTCCTGATTATAGTATCCATTATCATTTTCCTCCATGCTAAATTCTCTCTAGATAAATCCATTGAAGGTTAATATCTATATTTTCCCCTTTTTAATATTCATACTGCTGAACATGATAATGCATGCAAAATAAATCAGTTTAAACAAAAACACAGTAAAAATGAACAGGATATCATTCTTTGAAGAATCACAAGACCCGCTCATTTGACCAAAGTTTAATCCTAAACCAGTTCACAAGTGATTCAAAGTTGTCTTTGTTAACTATTTAGGGAACTTTATGTTATGATTTCACTTAGTTTCTTGGCATTTTGAAGTGAGACGTAGCTGGTTTTGAAAGCTGTCTGATGTCTTGAAGAGATTGTTGAAAAATATGGCAGGTTTCACTGTATGCTAAGTTTTGCTTGCCCTTCTGCTGACATCTTCACTTTGATGGGCTAACTGATTTTCTGGAGGAAGCAGTAGCTACTCAGAAATGTTAGAAATGTAAGATTCATGTAGCTAGATGTCTAACCCACATGTGTCTAAGGACAGGTGATTTGTATCACAAAGCTTTTCTCCCCATACTTGATTTTTTTCTAAGTCACATAAAAACTGGTGGTTTTTTTTAAGATTTATTTATTTGAGGTGGGGAGAGAATCTTAAAGCAGACTCCCTGCTTAGTGTGGAGCCTGAAATGGTCCTTGATCTCACGACCCATGAGATCACCACCAAGAGTTGGACACTTAACTGACTGAGCCACCCAGGAGCCCCTGGGTGGATTAATTTTAAGACAGTGCTCACAGGATGCCTGGGTGGCTCAGTTGGTTAAGCGACTGCTTTCGGCTCAGGTCATGATCCTGGAGTCCCTGGATCGAGTCCCGCATCGGGCTCCCTGCTCGGCAGGGAGCCTGCTTCTCCCTCTGACCCTCCCCCCTCTCATGTGCTCTCTCTCTCTCATTCTCTCTGTCTCAAATAAATAAAATCTTTAAAAAAAGAAAAAAGACAGTTCTCACAGATGGCACTTTAAATCATCTCATCTGTTCTGAAACTGGACAAATTTGTTGGAAAGTTTCTTTTTTTTCTTTTTATCATAAATTGAGTAAGTGTTGACCACTGCATGTTGTCTGTGTGGTCTGAGGGTTTTTTGATATAGTATGTAAATTTCCAATCATAGACTCTACAATGAAAGAAATATAAACTAACTATAGGAAAAATAAAAGCTTTCCCAATCTAGAAGTAGCCTGAGAACATCATAGTCTCCAGTAATTAGCATTCTCACTATTCTGAAAATTCAGTAGTCCCTCATCTCCTTCATTTTAATTCCTTGTTTTAAACTGTTTCAAATAAAGAAGATTTTAAAAATTAATATATATGTATATATATGTGTATATATGTATATATGTGTGTGTGTGTGTGTGTATAATGAATAGGACTGGGACTGGCCCTTGGCTCACAATTGAGAAAGACCACACACACAAAAATAAATAAATAAAAACTAACTGCTCTGTCATGGTAAAGTCCCCAGGATAAAGTGAAATAACATGGAGAGCATGCATAAAAAATAATTATTAAGTGAAGAATAAGTTGTGCCTTTTAATTGATTAGTGATTGTATTTTTTACAAAAATAGAATACAGCTTAAAAATTTATGCTTATTGCACATGTTAGTGCTAATCAATAGACAGTTTAAAAAAATGACTATCATCTTAATTATTTTTATTTTTCTAAGGAATTCCTTTCTGGGATATTATTCACTTTCAGATTTATTCTTAAATTCTTGGTACATTTGTATGTGTATGTATATGTACATGTGTTTATATACATATACACACATTTGTATTTATATATGTGATTATTCAGAATCGCAGATGTGCATTTGTACATAAAGAGAAATTAATATGATATGGCATCCTTGTAGTGTTTCATTTCTCCTTGCATATGAAATGACAAGTGTGTATTATTGGTACTATACAGGTTCTCTGGCTCTAAATGTAAATTATTTTTTGCTTCCAAACTAGAGAATATTATATCACCATGGTTAAATGGGTAAGCAATACGAAGACGGTGGTCAGATGGCTAAACCGGCCTCAGAACATCTCCATCCTCACCATCTGTCAGACTACCACTGGTGCTTGCAGCAGAGTGAGTATAACGTACTTTTCTCTTAGGCTTAAAATGAAGTACTTTATGCTACTCTCAAAGGGATATTGGGCAATCCATTGGACAAAGACCGATCTTTAACTCCCAGAGGTAGTTGGGAAAGAGTCATTCTATTAGAAGTATATAGTTTAATCCATAGATCATCCAAACTTCGAAGTGAGAAATATGGATAAGCACAAGAAAACAAACCCAAATGTAAAAAAAATGAATTCTTGTAATGTATGAAGGGGAGTCTAAGCCACATTAGTTTAATTCTGAAATACATCTTTCTCTCCATATTTTGAGTTTGATTACCTTGAGAATGTGGAATGTTTTTCCTGTCTTCTTCAAACATGTTCCGAAAATTCCATTTTTTTGATAGTTCAGATTAGTCTTCTAAAATAATGGACAGTGTGTGTTTTTAAATTAAATAAGAAGAGTAAAGAAAACAAAAACAAAAACAAAAACTGGTCCTTGAACCATTGTATTTTGAAAGCAGGTTGTATTTCTATTTCTATAATAAGTTTTTATAAGCTCTGCAATAAATCCTATATGTGTAATTTTTAAAGTTCTTAACAGAGGGTATACTGTAACCAGTTTGATTTGTTATAGTGTATATGCCTGTATTGGTACTTAGTAAAGTATTCCCAATTGTTTAACAACAGAATTTTCAAACTTCTGTTTCTGGATAGGATGGAGTAAATGTTGCCAGCCTAGCATTTCTGCTGTAGTCAACTATAAAACTCTACAAAATGAATTAAACCACTATTCTCAGATATTGGACAATAGCAGGATCAGGACATAAAAAGTGAAATAATGTAAATATATAAGAGAAGCCTAGCTTCCTGTAGGGGACACACTGAGACCTCAGTGCAAGCTAATGGAGCCCTAGAAAAGCACAGTGGTATCAACTGATCCAAGTAGGCAGGGAGAATCAGTTTGAGGCTATTGTGGTGGCTGAAATTTGCAAGTGGACAAGTACCACAAGATTTGGAGCTATAGAGAGAAGAACTCCGGCAATCTATGTAAAGGACCTCTTAAGACTTTAGCTCAATGCTTAACTGTGCAAGTACAAGACATGCTTCACAGAGAGAGAAGCAAATAGAGAATCTGCAGGTTGCACAATGCTTGGAGACTTTGGAGTGCTGAACAGCAAAATTGGAGAGCTCTCGTTGAAAACCCTTTGCATTCAACTCACAGTCCAGAAAGAAAAATGCATTAGAAATAAGGCTGTTCTATACTCTTTACAATAAACCTTTATATCAAAGCTGGAAAGGATCAAGTGCATGCCTATAAATTAGCTGTCTTCCTAGAACAAAGTTTACTCTTTTAAATGGAGAATTAAAATTTAAAATATCAATTACACAATTAAAACATACTATATATGTAGGAAAATCGAAAATGTAACCTGCCTACCTCCCCCCCAAAATAGCTATAAGAGCAGACTTACACAGAATAGAGATATTAGAATTAACAGATACAGATTTTTTTAAAGCTGTTTGGAAGATATTTAGCAAATTAAAGGGAGGCCCTAATTAATAAATAGATGACATATTTCAGTAGAGAAACAAACTATAAAATACAGAACAATGGAATTGCAGAAACTAAAAAGAACAGTATCTGAAATGAAAAATTGTTTGGAGGGGTTAAATACAAATTGGACATTGTTGTAGTCAGGGAAATAAAAACACTCCAAACTGAAATGCTGAGGAAAAAAAGGCTGAAAAAAAATGCACAAAGCCTTAGTTACATATGGAATAATTTGAGCTGTTGTATATGTGGAATGTAATACACCCAGAAGGCAAGGTTTGAGATACTGGGGCAGAAAAAAAAAATAATGACTTAAAATATCCCAAATTTGAAGAAAAACCAATAACCCATATATCTAAGTTAGTATAAAACAACAAGGATAAAAACAAAGAAAATAAGTAGGCACATAATATTCAAATTATTGCAAACCAAAGATTAAGAGAAAAATTTTAAAACAGGCTGAAAGAAAAACACGTTACATATGGGGGAACAGAATGATGAAAATTACTACCTCTCTCTCGTCTGAAATGATATAAGCCAGAAAACAGTGGAATACATTTTTAAAAGACTGGAAGAAAATCAGGGTAAACCAGAAGTCTATATCCTATGAAAGTATCTTTCAAAAATGAAGACAGACATATTCAAATAAATAAGAGCTGAGATAATTCATCACAAGTAGATATGCATAAATAACACGAAATGAAGTTATTCAGTCTGAAAGAAATAGCATCAGATGAAACCTAAAATCTAAATGAAGGAAAGAAAGATGCCCCAAATGACAAATATATGAGTAAAATAAAAATATCTTCTAGTTTTTATTTTTTTTTAAAGTTAATGGATAACTTAAGTAAATCAAAACTGTCGAACTAAAAGGCTTATACACAGTAAAAGAAACAGTCATCAACAAAATGAAAAGCCAACCTGTAGAAGGGAAGAACATGTTTGCAAATCATTTATCTGATAAGGGGTTAATATCTAAAATATATTTAAAAATCTCCTTCAACTCAATAGCAAAATAAAACAAAAATGAACAAAACAAACAAAACCCCCAATAATCTAATTTAAAAATGGGCAAAGGACCTGAATAGACATTTTTCCAAAGGAGAAACTCAAATAGACAACAGGTATATGAAAAGGTGCTCAACATCACTAATCAGTAGGGAAATGCAAATCGAAATCACAATGAATTATCACCTCATGCCTATTAGCATGGCTAGTATCAAAAAAGACCAGAGGTAATTGCTGGCGAGGAAGTGGAGAAAAGGGAACCCTGTGCCCTGTGGTAGGAATGCATATTGCTATAGTCACTGGGGAAAACAGTATGGCAGATCCTCAAAAAATTAAAAATAAAATTTCCATATGATCCAGCAATTCAAATTCTGGGTATGTATCTGAAGGAAATGAAATCACTATCCCAAGATCTATTTGCAAGCCCATGTTCATTGCACATTATTTATAATAGCCAGGACAGGGGGGGAAACAAAACAAAACAAGTGTCCATCAATGGATGGATGGATAAAGAAAATGTCACACACACACACACACACACACACACAGGAATAATATTCAGCCATAAAAAAGAAAGAAATCCTGTTATTTGTGACAATAGGGGAGGAACCTTGAGGACATTTATTCTGAGTGAAATAAGTCACAAGATGGAGAAAGACAAATACTGTATGATCTCGCTTATATGTGGAATAAAAAATTAAAACAGAAAAAGAGATTAGACTTGTGTTTGTGAGAGGTGAGGGTGAGGGTGTGGAAATTGGGTGAAGGTGGTTAAAAGGTACAAACTTCCAGTTACAAGATAAATAATTTCTGGGGATGTAATGTACAACATGATGACTATAGTTAACAATACTTCATTGTATATTTGAAAGTTGTGAATGGAGTAAATCTTAAAAGTTCCCATCATAAGGAAAAAAAATGTAGTTACATGGGGTAATGAATGTTAACTAAACTTGCAGTAATTATTTCATAATATATACATGTATCAAATCTTTATGATGTATGCCCTAAACTTATACAATGTTATATGTCAGTTATATCTCAATAAAACTGGAAAAAAGGGAATAAATTCTACCATTAATACAATTTCCAGAAAGTGGAGAAGGAAATTTTTCAGTTCATCTTTTAAGCATAGCATAATCCTATTACCGAAACTAGGCAAGGACATTATGAGAACAATTTAGACTGAGACATCTTATGAACATGTGTACCAAAAATTCCTTAAACATATTAATATATCATCTGTGGCAATATAGAGAATAGTACATTGTGACTAAATGGGGTTTATTTTGGTAATTTATGATTGGTTTAATATTGAAAACCAATCAATGTAATTCATTATTTTAACAGAAAAAAAAGAAGAAAAACAAGTATCTCAGTAGATGAAAAAAAAAAGCAGTTGACAAAACTTAACATTCATTCATGATAACTTTCAACATAAATAAATAGAAAAAATATCTTTAATTTGATAAGGGATACCCACAAAATACCTCAAAGATATACTCTATGGTAAAATACTTTCCTTACTTACCTTAATATCAGCAATAAGGTAAGGATATACATTCTCACTGTGGTGTGGAAACTTTATTAGAGCCTCTAACCAGAATAACTTGGCAAGGAATAAATATGATGATTGGTAAGGAAGAAATAAAATTCTCTTTATTTGTAGATGGCATTATTGCATAAATAAAAAGTAAGAAATCTACAAACAAAACAAAACAAAACACACCTAGAATGGGTCATAATTCACAAGTCAGTGTACCAACTTAAATTGTTTGGCTTCCTGATTTTGATCATTTTACTGTAAAAAACATGTAAGTATACAGGATAGTGTAATTTTCTTAAGAAATGCTTAATGAATTATTTAGGGGTAGGTGGATATAATGCCTCAAAATTTCTATAAATTATTTAGAAAAAAGTATACTCCTAACAACTTTTAATTGATTTTGAAAAAAATATACTTTTGCCTTCCTTTCAAATAGTTTAGAAACTGCCGAGAGATATAATAATAAAGCAAATGGAACAAAATATAAATAAATGAGGAATATGTCTAAAGGATATGCAGATATTTCTTGAACCAGTCTTTTAACTTCTCTGTAAGTTTGCAGTTTTTTCAAAATAAGGAATTGAGAAACAACAAAATGTGTTTCTACGTACTCATAATATTAGAATGGAAAATAAAAATGCCACTAAAATTTTTAAAACATTAAATACATAAGGATAAATTTAACAAATAGTGTGCAAAATCCCCATATGGAAAACTACAACATTTTTGAAACACATTAAGGAATACCTAAATAAATAGAAGCTATACCACATGCTGGAATTGAAAGACTGAATATTACAGATGGCATTCTACTCAAAGTGAACTAACTGTAGTTTCACTGCAATATGAATTCCCAGAAGAATTGGGAATTTCTGGTAGAAACAGACAAGCTGATTCTAAATGTATTTGGAAATGCAAAAAACCTGGGATGACCTAAACAACCTTGTAAAAAAACAAAAACTGTTGGAGAAGTTGCACTACTGGATTTCAAGAATAACTAGAAAGCAACAGAAACTGAGAGATTGCAGTGGAGGCATAAGGACACACAAACAGATCAACAGAACTAACAGAGTTTCCAGAAATAGATCCATATTTATATGATCAATTTATTTTTAACAGAGGTGCCAAGACAATCCAAAGGGGGAAAAATGGTGCTGGAGCAATCAAGAACCTAATGAAAAATGCTATGGTATTTGACATCTATCATATACCATGTTCTAAAATTAATTTGAGATAAATTGCTGTCCCAAATCTAAGAGATGATAGTGTCAATCTTCTAGATAAAGATATGGGATGTAAGTTTGCTATATTGAATAGGCAAAAAGTCATTAATCATAAAAGAAAAAATAATAATACATTAGACGTCATCAAAATCAGATATTTCTCATCAAAGGCACTGTTAAGAAACAGCTAACCTCAAACTAGAAGAAAATATTTTGCAAAATGGGTATCTGACAAAGAAATATATACATCTCAATAATGAAAAGACAATCCAATGAAAAGAGCAAAACATGTGAACAGAAATGCGCAAGGAAGTAATAAATGCATGAAAAAGTATTTAACATTATTAGACATTAGGAAAACATAGATTAAATCATAATGAGATAATACTACATACCATTAGAATGACCAAAATTAAAACAACACAAAGGTGACATTATTGGTGAGGATGTAGAAAATTGCAGTTCTTATTCTTCATGAGTAGAAGTGTAAAATGATACAGCTTGTTTAAAAATTGATTTTGCAGTTTCAAGTAAAGTTAAACATACACATATAAAAACATTTATTATAATGTATATTACATATATATATGTGTGTGTGTATAGATAGATATAGATATACTCCATACTCCAGTAACTCCATTCTTAGATATTTGGAAAAGAAATAACACCTGTGTCCACCAAGGATTTGCTAAAAAGAAAAAATCTTTAGAGAAGCTTTATTTACAGTAGCTAAAAACTGGAAACTATCCAATTATCTATTAACAAGGAATGAATAAACAAAATGAGCCATATCTATACAACAGAATTCTCAGCAATTTAAAAAGAAACGGAATACTGATATGCCCAGCAATATGCGTGCATCTCAAAAACACAGTGTAAAAGAAGTCCCACTCAAAAGAGTACATAATACGTAATTTCAATTATCTGAACTTCTAAAATAGGCAATACTGATCTATGGGGAACTATTTCAGAAGACTGACTGCCTTTTTTGAACCTTTGGGAAGGGGCATGGGAGAAGGTGTCAGGAAGTGTAGATCAAGATCTTTTATCTTGATGGGATGTAAATATATCTGTCAAAACTCATCACAAGCACTTTAGAGCTGTACATATCACTATATGCAAATTATACTCCAATATTAAAACAGTTTTTAAATGGTATATAAAAGGGAAAGGGGGAAGAAATTTGTCTTTGATTGGAGTGATGAGCATAGATGTGGAGATAAAGTTGATGAGTCAGCCACTTACTTACTGGATTTGACTAATGCTCTTTACATTTAGTTTGTATTTATTAGAAAATATTTCAATCATCATCTTTCATCTGATAGGCTGACTAGGATTTCACCATTTATTTGTTAAAGTATTCTGGATGGTTTCTTCTTCAGGTGATACTAAATTATTTAGAAATTGTCATGTATATATTCTAGTTAGAGAAACCTGTCATCTTTTCTATATAATGATAATCTGTATAGGTAATGGCAAGAATGTATCAAAATGCTTCAGTAGAAAATAGATATAGGAACCCTATCATATTATTGATTTGGTACCTTATTGATATTCTGTTATATTTCTAATATATTTCTAAACTATGGACTTAAAAAAAAGATTTTACTCTCTACTATAATTGAAATAATAAGAAAATAAATGCATGTGAAAATTTGGACTTCCATGGATTCTAATAAAACTTAGTAATATTAATGAAAAGTGGCATTGATATATTTTTGTGTGTCTGTGTTTTATAGATACCAAGGATGGTTATTGCAGAGATGCAAATAGAAAATCAAGGAACAATTTAGTTAGATGTTTCCTTGATATCTACATGTAGCAAAATCTAGTGAAATAAACAAAAATAAAAACAGGCCCTGAAAAGAGAAAGTGTTTGATTATAATGTATTAATATGGCTTTAAAAGAGGAAACTGGTAAAAAAAAAAAACCCTATAAATTAATAACAATTTGGAATCAATACCTCTGCATATAGATAAAATCTGCAATATAGTGATTTAGTTTTCATTTAAATATTTTTATTATAGACTCATTTTTTAAAGTACAAGATTTTCATAAGTTCTTATATGTAAACAGTACTAGTAAAATTTATTGCATCTACACATATTTAACTTGAGATTAAATTAATCTCATTTTGCTTTGTTAAATATGATCTTGGTTCTGATCATTTGTAAGATTACTTTAATGGAACATAAAATTCTGTCCTTTTCAAATGTTTGTTTTTCCTGAAGAAAAGAATATGACTATGATGGAGAGTGGATGAATGTTGAAAGAACATCTACCTTTTCATTTTATTCCTGGCTGTTTGCCCAGTTCTTTTGAAGGGCTTAATAATTTTGGTTCCCAATGATGCCTAGAGGTGAAAAGAGACAGTGCCTAGTAGTTCAAAACAGTTTGAATGAGGTAATCAAACAGCACTGGAAAATGATCTTCTATCCCTGGTGACATACTACGGGGAATTCTAAAGGAGTTCACCAAAGGAAAGATTTTATAATTAAATTATCACTTAATCCCAGTTCTGTATTTACTCATTCAGTTGAAATCAGTAATGACAATGGGATGTCTCATGGTATTTCACCAGTTGAAGAGAGAGAAAAAAAATGCCTAACGGACTATGTGTAAAAAAAGTTAAATTGATGCATGCTCATTTTGATGTTTAGAAGCTTCATGGAGTTCATTGTTTCTTTTCAGAAATATGAGATGACATCAGATACTTGGCTCTCGAAACAGGTATGGCATAGGAGGTTGCTTTAGGTCACATTCTGGCCATTGTGCTCATTCTATTTGCTATGTAAGAACTTTCTCTCAAAAGTTATCTCAGTATTATGACTTTAGGCTTTGCTATGTTTGACTGAGACTTTTCCATTAAAATATTTATGACTTGTCTTTTCTATGACATCATTTATAAAAAGGCTACTTCTGTTTTCTATACAGTATAAGTTGCAGAATAACTACTAGGATCCATTTTTAGGATCATTCATGTAAGTAAACTTTTGTGTAGATGAAAAGAGAAAAAAGTTGTGACCCATTAAAGTTGGAAACCATCAGCATTGCTCAGATTGCCCAGAAAACTGATAAAACCTCCACATAAATTGCTTATGTGGAGATTAATTAGATGAATGCTTCTTTCCTTAGATGTATCCTAGGTCCTGATGCTAGTTTATGACATAAATGAGGCTGGAATCCAGATAACAATAGAATAACTACCAAATGTCTCCACAACATGGTCTCATACTGGACATTTCAGAAGGAAACACAAGTAGATTATCTGAATATGGCTGAACCCATTTTACTATTAACTCCATCACTATTTTTTGCAAAGGGAAGAGTTGTGTTTGGTTTGCTTTTGCTTTTTTTTTTTTTTTAAGATTATTTATTTATTTGACAGAGAGAGAGACAGTGAGAGAGGAGACACAAGCGGGGTTGGGGGGGGGGTAGAGGGAGAAGCAGACTCCCCACTGAGCAGGGAGCCCGATGTGGGGCTCGATCCCAGGACCCTGGGATCATGACCTGAGCCTAAGGCAGACGCTTAACGACTGAGCCACCCAGGCACCCCGATTTGTTTTGTTCTTTACAGCAATCTTTTATTTAATATTCTCTCCTAAAGTGTCATACACATGTATGGTTTCAATTACCACCATGTATTGAGACCTCTAAATGTATAGCCCTGGGCAGCTCACATCACTGAGTTCTAAAATTCATGCTTGGCATCTTCTCCTAAATCTATAAAAGTAACTGCACACTCCACAGGTCCAAACTGAACATATTCTAGTCTTATGTACTCTTCTTATCCTAGGAGTCAAGGACATAATTACTCATCCAGCTATTAAAATCATAAACCTATCAGTCATTCTTAAGCTTTTCTTATCCTTTTCTGCATAGTATTATTATTATTAGACTATTATTCTCTATATTATTCATCACCAGGTTCTTCAACTTTACATTCAAAGATCTCAAGTCAATTTACTTTTCTCCATTTCACAAACAGCATCCAGGATCAAACTGCAGGAACTGCAAATTGGCGTATGCCAATCTCTTCAGATTGCAGGCTGCCTGAGGGACCATTGCAAAGTGTGTGCTTGGTTGCCACTACCCATATCTCTCTCACAACTGAAACCGAAATTTTTGTCAGTTCCTTCTCCATTCTAGGCACATGAGCTCTCATATTCACAGGGTCTTTGTATGAGCCTTTCTTCTAAATGGAAGTCTCTCAACTACTTTCACTTTGTGAAGGCTGCTCCTTTTTCAAACCTCAGCTTAAATCACCTACTTAAAAAAATCACCTCCTCCAACCTCTGTAACCAAATCACATCCCTCAATAAAAGTTTTTATTTTTTAAGTCGAGTGTAATCTTTCTGTAATATTTATACAATTATTTCTGTATTGTTTTCCTAAGTTCATAAGGGCAGGAGGGATATTCATTTTTTTGTTCCCCATTGTAAACTAAATGCTTATATAGAGTCTGATTATAACAAAATCTCCATAAATACTTGCTGAATAAAGGAAGAAAAAGTAAGAAGGGCTGTGGATAAACTAAACCTTTTTTTGTTTGAAGCATAAGCATACCAAATCTACCCATAGGTAAATAAGTAAATATTAATATGAACTACTTAATCTTAATAAAATTGGGGAAAAAACCCAACTTTTATCTTATAGTCAGTAATGGACTTTCTTAAGTTAGATAATGAAAATAAAAACAATGACAAGCAATAACATAATGGATATTGATGCATAGTCTCAATTATCCTGCATTATTAAACCTATTTTGCTATCATTTTTATTTCCAGTGACATTCGTAATAGTGTAACATGCATCAACATAATGCATGCTCTTTTGGAATTATGTTATCTACATTTTAAATCCCAAATTTATGAATGTTTAATAGAAATGTTTTTTAAAGCAAAGAAACTAGTTATCAATTATTTAGTAAAAAAAAATGCAGGTGGTAGTTTGTCACAGTTGAGTTTTTCTCTAGGAGCTCTTAAGAGAATTTTATAAAATATTTAGAATTTGATGAAATATAAAGTATGAGAATGGTAGTAGTAATGAGATGAAACAAATTTCTAAGACGATTAGAAACTTAATATAATCATCATATGCTCACTTTTTGGATGGTAGGAAGGACAGAGAAGAAGTAGGTATATTTGGCCTGGCCTCTAAGAAACTTGTGATAACCTATGTACAAAATTTTTGGCCAAGAGATAGAATTTGGTATCCCCAATTCATTGTTCTGTACGTCATAAACACTGACTTGCTTACAATCATGAAAGTGGCCAGTGTGATTGGCTCCATTTCTATTATTGGATTCTAGGAAAAGATTGGCATAGAGCTCTGTTTATAGGCAGATATTGCCTAGTGGTGAAGGTTATTAAACTCAGCAGTGCGTTTGAGAATATAGTCCCCATCTGCTCCTTCACTGAGCCATTTATAAGGCACTAGAATTTTAAGGGGATGGATGCACAAATACAAAAAGAAGAATGTTCAGATATCTCTGTACAATTATGAGTTGGATACCTACTAGGTCCTAGGCAATAGAGCTAAAAAGATAAAATTGCAAACTTAGTTTAATTATTACTTGCCTAGTGAAGGAAGCCAACCATATAATAGGATGCATTGAATGCCATGATAGAGATGAACACAGGGTGATAGAATCTCTGAGGAGAGATTTCCTAACTAGGAGACACTCTCTAACTAGGGAAATTTGGAAATGGTTTCTGTTCCTTGAATTTAAGGGAGAAAAAAAAAAAAGAAAGAGTAAGATTCAGTACATAAAGGAAAACAGAAAGGCTGTTCCAGACAGGAGAAGCTTCATGTGCAAAGGCCAAGAGAGAGAGAGATCCCAGAGGGCAAGAGATGGAACCTACAGAATTATTGACTCTATCATAGTTGAAAGATGTAATTCACTCACTCAGGTCTCTTGTCAGTATTATATGCCTAGCAGTGCATTGTCTTCATCCTTGAATTGTATATTACTTCACAGTTTTAAAAATTTTTACATATATCATCTTATATTTTCATGAGTGTCCATGAAGTAGACAAGGACAGTATTATCCTTATATTTCTATCAAGGGACGATCTCACTAGTGAAGCTAAAATCAGATTCTTGAGTTTATTAAAATAGTCATTAGTTTATTCATTAAGTAAAAAAAGTATTAAGCACACAGTCATTGTCTAGGTGCTGGAGATAGAGCAGTGAAGAATACAAGGTTCCTCCCTCATGGAGCTTCCATTCCAGAGAAGCATTACCTACTTACCTATCTACCTGCCCACCTGCATGCATACACACATATACCCCCAAAATATGCATACCTGCCTGAACTTTGGTATGTTGGATGCTGTTAGGTGCTATGGAGAGAAACAGGAAGGAGGTAAAAAGGGATGAGGGATTTAGATAGAGCTGGATGATCTCGCTTCCAAGATCTCCCTCTACATGGGTAAATAGGAAGCATCTCACTGATAAGGTGACATAGAGGCAAGATAACAAAGAGATAAAAGAAAGAACCAAAGGGAATAAAAAGTGCAAAGGCCTTGGAGAAGGAGCATGCACAATGAGGAAACAGGAGAAGAAAAGGAGAGGAGATCAGAAAGAGAGTGGAGGGCCAGATCACCTGAAACAGTTTGTAGGCCATTTTATTTTTTATTTATTTATTTATTTGTTATGTTATGTTAATCACCATACATTACATCCTTAGTTTTTGATGTAGTGTTCCATGATTCATTGTTTGCGTATAACACCCAGTGCTCCATGCAGAACGTGTCCTCTTTAATAACCATCACCAGGCTAACCCATCCCCCCACCCCCCTCCCCTCCAGAACCCTCAGTTTGTTTCTCAGTGTCCGTCGTCTCTCATGGTTCATCTCCACCTCTGATTTCCGCCCCCTTTCATTCTTCCATTTTAAAGACCTGCAGAAGAAACCATAGCAAAGCCTTTCTTTTACCGTTAGTATAATCACTTTCGCTAATCCAATAGGAAAGAACGCAGTGCAGGCAAATCCATTTTCTTAATGTTTGCCCTGGAGCAAAAGGAAAGCAATCTATATGTATAGCTTCCATCATTTAATATTCAGAAAATTCTATTGATTTAACATGCCACTAGAGTTTAATTAAAAAAATCATCAAATGGGCATTTGTGTTTGTGTATTTTTGGAGGGGTGAACAGTGAAGATGGAAAGTTTGAATTAAATGATTTTCAGTGGACTCCTTCCAATTTTGCAGCCTTTTTGTTCTGTGTTTTTCAGTAAATTTGTATACATTAACAGAAATGTATGTTCAAATAACCAGAGTTGTTGAAATATTTCAGAAAAAATATATTAAAAATTGTATATTTTTTGTAAACCATTCATTAAAGAGCTTCTTATGGTAGTCCAAATGAAAGAGACAGAAAGGGGAATGATGGGGAGTAAGGTAGGGAGGAATGGGAAGTTATTATTTAATGGGCACAGTTTCTCATTGGGAAACATGAAAAATTTCTGAAGCTAGATGGTGGCAAAAATAATTCACATTATTTTTAGAGATAATTAACCACTTCACAAACCAATTCTAAATAAAAAATGGCATAACCCATGCTTGAATTAGCAATGGTTGGCAGCACAAAGCACAATCTCGAGATTGTTATATGCACTTTTGTGTTTTAGAATGAGGAGCCGGTGTTTTCTAGAGATGGCAGCAAATTCTTCATGACAGTTCCTGTTAAGCAAGGGGGCCGTGGAGAATTTCACCACATAGCGATGTTTCTCGTCCAGGTCAGTGCTGGCTTCTTCTCTGTTTGCTGTCATTGCTGTGATGCTCACGGAGGTACAATTCTTGTGGCATATTCTGAACCTGCAGTTAATGCCTATGAAGTCCAGCCATATATTTAACCCAAGGACTAGGTTTTAGGAGGAGGATCCCCCTCCACAGCTATAAATTCAAACTGTAGCTTCCCACAAAAGAGTCTCAACTGAACTCAGAGAATTTAGTGAGTCACACACGTATACGAAAAGGTGAGAGCCTTGGGATATAGAATTGAATACATGAAAATTTTATCCAACCCCTACTTTCATAGACTTGAGGACAAACTAGAGAAAATTTTTCATTCAACAAATATATATTATTTATTTTGTACAAGCAGTATTTTCAAGGTGCTACAGATGTTTTAAAATCTTGAAGCAAACTAAATGTCCATCAAAAAGTTGAATCCGTTATTGTATATATACCCTTACAAGGAAATATAATGCAGATTTGAAAAACTAGGATAAAGATACAGAGTCTGTGCTATATTTTTATAGACATTCTGATAAAAAAGGAAAGGGTTATTTTTCCTTTAAATTCCAAATGAGTTAACAGTTAACAATTTATACAGTTTTATCCAATTATTAAAAAATTAGAGAATTCAGAAATGGTTGAAATAAGACAAGGTTAATGAATCAATTTGAATGTAATGGTCAATAACAAATATTCATGAGAACTAGTTTCCTTCACAATCAAATAAACATCCTAGTCTCATGTAGAAGATTATTTATAAAGATAAAATTGTGTGGATAAATTGGAATCCTCTAGAAGAGTTTACAAACCAACTGCTAAGAATCAATTTCATACTTACAAAATATAGAGTAAATATAAATGTGCCTAAATATCCCTAAACGACCTGGCTACTTTTATGCCATTAGAACCTTCAAGCCTTGTGCATATTCTCAAAATTTTATCATTATCTACATACATATTTATGTTCGGCAACTCAGTGCCTTGAATTCTCAAAATCTTGTGTTGGTAGTTTAAAATTTAACACTTGTCTAAGGTCTGTACCTATTAAAATAATTGTCATGACTTTAATTTTAATCAAAGCTGAAATAATTTGGAACATGTATAATTTCTACAATAGAGATGTAGATTAATTTCATAGTCTATCATTATAAAGTTGGAAAAACAGGTTATAGACTAATATATAATGTGATCTCATTTATGTCCTAAATAAATGTATCTATTTATATATGCATAAAGTTTTTGAAAATTTTATATCTATTAAAATGATTATATCAGACAGGTAGGACACAGGGAACTCTTTTTCTTTTTTCCTTTCTTTTTTTTTTTTTTTTTAATCTTATTTATTTATTTATTCATGAAAGTCAGAGAGAGAGGCAGAGGCAGAGGGAGAGAAGCAGGCTTCCCGCCTAGCAGGGAGCCCGATGCGGAACTCGATCCCAGGACCCTGGGATCATGACCTGAGCCGAAGGCAGACGCTTAACCGTCTGAGCCACCCAGGCGCCCCTCTTTCTTTTTTTTTAATGTGAACTGGAAGAAGCTTCGCTAGCAAATTGCTCTACCTGATTAACTCTTGCGAGCTAATAGTAAACTTTGTTATAAATACTAGGAAGATATTTTGGCCAAAAATAATAAATCACACTTCCCCAATCTTAAAATTGACTGTGACATTTTATTAAATTTTTAAACCTCAGTATTTTATATTCAAGAAGTTGTGTGAAAACCCAGGTGATCAAAATTACATACAAATTGTATATATTTATAAGATAGGGAATGAAGGATGGGGAGAGATATGTAATGCATCTTTATATATACAATTCCAAGAAGACAATCTATTCAAGTTAAAAAAAGAAATAGCGTCTTTTAGAAAGTGTGGGATTGGCAGGGAATGGGGGTGCTGATGTGGGCACGTAGGAATTGAGATATTTATGAACCTAATAGAAGTTTCTTTATAAGCCTTGGGAAGAAATATCTTCTGCTCCTATCAAATGATCCTGACATGCAGTCTAATTCATTATTTCTGAAATGTTCAGAACAACTTCATAGAGCAGGTGTGTTTACTTTGTTCCTCTTCTATATGAAGATTATAACAAAGTTTTCATTGAAGTAAAAATATTTTGATCTATTCTGGTTGCAGTTTAGAGAATCTGTGGTTTGCCTCACTGAGAAATAAACATGACTGCATGATTATTTATGGATATTTTGGCAATGCGGATGAAATTAATCTACTTTGTTAATGAGTTAGAGGTTAGTGGTTAGACAAATATAAGTTACACCTAAGTCTACACACCCACACAATCTTAGAAAATATTTGAATTCCTTTGCCTCATTTTTTTAAATAGTTTACAAGAAAAGCTCTTTTATGATTACCAAATTGATGCATATTCTATAAAGATTTGTACAATTCTAAGCTGAATTAACTGAACTAATTTAAAATCAAACGCAATCTTGTCACCCCACAATCTCACACTATAAATCAATTGGTGCATATATATATTTCTAATCCCTTTTAACATTAAAAATATTTGATTTTCCCTTAAATATTACAAAGCACATATATGTATTTGTAATATTTAACGAATAATTTATAAGCATTTTCATATCATTTATTATATTCTTAATATTTAATATTATTCTTAAGTATGTTTTAATAGTTGTTCAACATTCTGCCAAATAGATTTAGTATACTGTTTTTAAATGAATCAATTTTAATCATCATTAAAGTTACTCTAATTTTGATACTAGAAATTATTCAGAGATAAACATTCTTATACATAGATATTTGTGATTATTATCACAAAAATATATTTTAAGATATCAAAAGATACCTAGGCAAAGCATATATGTACATATGTATTTGTTTAGGTTTTGATATGGAGTACCAAACTGACTCTCCAAAAATAGTATAATACTTTACAGTCTAAACAGTAATGCATACTAACATTGATGACTTTTTATCCTTTCTTTCTTCCCTTGACATGCTTAAAGTGAGAATTGACAGGAACAGAGGGTTTGACAGCCAACAGTCAGGATGACCACCCTTGTAGTATTTGATGCTTGGCTATATTTGAGAGCTTCCTCACTGACTGAAAATATATTTGTTTGAAGTATCTTACTAAATGAAATTAGTAAATTTTTGTAAACATTTTGCTCTCTTTCACAATGAATAGGTAGATAAAAACTATTAATTAGAGGCCAGGCTATAAAATTACTCTTTCAGGCCATTTTGTTATAAAGTGTGATGGTTGTCATTATAAATATTTTAGTGTTTTTTTTTTCTCATTTACAAAGATGATTGATCCTTACTAATGTAATTTCAAAAAACAGAAGTAGAAAGAATTTATGTAGTTTCCTCTTTTTAGACAAGTTTATAATTTTATGTAAACTATAGTATTTCATTCTGATATTTTAAATTATAATTATAAAGCATACTTTCCCCATAATGCTACATAATTTTGAAAAACAATTCTTTAGAAGATCAATATTTAGTTGACTGGATGTAGATACTTAACCAGTATTATTCAGTGTATAACTCAGTGGCAATTTGCTGTAATTATATCTGTCACTGTACAAAAAGCTACTTTATATTATAGATTATTTAGTTTTGATTAACAAAACTGGAATTCCTGCATCAAAAGTAAAATATTTCTAAGCTCATATATACATACACTAATATATATACACTAATATATATATACATATATCTATATGCATACATATATATTATTTTTTATTTCTAGATTACTTTCAGTATATGTGATAGCAGAATTTCTCCACTTTTATATGTTGCATTAGAGACAATATTAATAAAAATAAAAATTGGCTTTTCCAAAAATCTATATAAAGTAGTTGTTCTTTTGAGTAGAATATGCAATATGCAATATTAATATCAATCTAGTTCCTGAATCAAACAGTGATGCAGAACTTCTTTACCTCAGATCATTAAACTTGTGATTGCTTCATAAATGTTCCCCTTCCTCATCCCTCCGTGGTATTCCTTATGTAGACCTTTAACTTCTGAGTTGCCCTATCTGGAACTCTAATTCCCCGTATCCTGTAATGCAGGCTGCAGTTAAGTAAAAGGTTTTTGTCAAAGACATGGCTACCTTTTTCTCTCAAATATGGAGTAAGCAGAGTTTCAATCATGGTAAGTGGTTCAAATTCATAAACATAAAGAATTGCCCTGTCATCTTCCTAAATTGTGTTAAATGAAAAATTATATATGTTGGTGAATCCATTCTCTTTCTCTATGCAGCAATAGAAAATTTTGCTCATGAGAGCTGATGATTTCACTTGGAACAATTTTAAATGCCATTATTCATTACAAATACTGTAGAAAATGGCATGCCCCCAATTCACAATTCTATCATCTAATCAACCCAATAATTTTTTTTTCATTAAATTACACTATTGCATCTGATTAGGACATTGTCTGAAAACAATTAGCTCACCTCATGTGATAAATAGACAGTAAATTAAAGCATGCTATTTTTAAGCACTACAATATTTCACTTATTTAGAAGCTGTAGAAGTTCAATAGAATTTAATATAAGAAATTTGAATGAATAGTGTGTAATCAGGTAAAAAGCACATGCATTATTAAATTTTCACTGATACCAATATCTTTCAAATTTTTAAATAGAAATACAAGATTAATATTTAATTTTTCTGAGTAAGCGAAAATCTATACCAATGCGAGGAGAGGTATCTGATGTCTAATTGTGTCTGATGTTTTCTTCTCAAATTTTACTTTATTTGGGAATAAAAACACTTTACCTGCATCCTAGATTGTCATCCCCCTGGTGAAGGAAATTATTAGTTTTATTGCTGTTTATTCTAAAATTAAAAGTGAAATACGAGTTTAATTTAAAGTATGTTGCCATGTTGCCCTTATCAAAAGTCCACTGTGCTTTTATATTCACAATCATTTTTTTTCTGTTCTACCAAGTTAATATAATAGAGACCATAGTTACTTGGAAAGAATTATTGTGCAGTAAAAATG